GGTATAAAAATCCGTTCAGTGGTTGCTTTCCATTATTTGAAGTTCAGATTTTGAGCGTAATGTGCATTTGCCCCTCGCTCCCTATTTTAACTTCGCTAATATTTCTTTATGCTTGATCAGACAGCCTGGCTCAGTAAAAGTAGGCGGCCAGTGCAACTCTGATTAAAAATCTAGTTATAACGACGTGCAGTGCTGATAAGCACCACGTGTTTCTGTGATTCCTATTTTCTTCTTTCTATGTATTTCTTTCTTTCTTTCTCCTGATGAGGAGGGACCTTTAGCTGCCCTCGAAATCGATTGAGTGTTTCATTATACCTACGCTAAATATAAGGTTGTTTTTCGGCGCCCTTAATTTGTTTGTTAATCAAAAATTCGTACACAAATTTCAAATTAATTTGCTTTGCTGTTGAGGATTCAAAGATGACTGTACCGTTATTTTAATGTAAAATTAAACGGATTTCATTAAATTTCTTCAAATGTTTTCAACAGTTGTTAAAAATTAATTCCTTCGGGATTCAAATCCCTTTGGACTAAAAAAAATCTGAAAGTGTTCTGATTTTAACAGTCGCCCGGAAGGTTTTGTTATGACTTTTTACGCTCTCGCTGAGCTCGCAGCTTACCAGTCTACTGTTACCTCACTCTTACCAACCCATTTTTTTTGTCATTTTACCTTTATTATTAAGCATCGTTTTCTTCGTTATGCCACTCACAATTCGACAGCAAAATTGCAAAAATTTTAAAAGCAGCAAAGCAGTACACGTTTAGAATTCCCGATGCAGCCTTAATTTTTTTTCGTACAAAGTTGCCACTGCTCGCTTTCAAATTGTTGAGTTTGTTAATTAAAAATTCATTAAAGTTTTACCAAATATAAAATAATAAAAAAAATTCGAAATTCAAAATTCGGGCTTCCAGGTACCCACATTCGGGTGGAGGACTATGTTATTCAAAATTTGATGGTTGTATGTTAAAACATGAATGATGTATGTTAATGCATGAATTCAGGCTAATTCTTCATTATTTAATTTCTTTAAATATTATACAGGGCGATAATATTTGGTGGCAACAATTTGAATAGTGATATGCCGTTTATAGTGATTCAACGCAAAATGCCGTTTCTAGATTAATATCCCATTCGGGAATACCATGCCTTTTGAGCCAATAAGGATTAAAATTTTTATTCTTTAAAATGTAAATCAACTTTTTAACCCAAATTCCTAAGATTCTCTACTTTCTCTTTCACTGATTAACGAAAATTTCTAAATTTTCATTGATAACTTATTGAAAGGATTCGAATGGAATTAAAGAGCCCACTTACGTTGATTATTTTGATGATCACATGACCGTATGCAAAGAACATCATTAGGATGTGCTAAGGTTTGTTTATTGTGTCCTCGATCTCCTAAATTTTGAGTCACACCTGTTTTGCAGAATGTTTGTTCAGAACACAGAGAAAATTGGGCTTGAACATAAAAGAAAAGTAATGTCAAGGTGTTTATCTTTGCTAATGGAATGCGAATCCTAGCATTTTAAACGTGAATGATTATAAGGTTTGATAAAGCTTTCATTAAAAATGTGAGATATTCTGGAAAAAATTCTAAAGGGTTTCAATCAAAGATATCCAAATAATTCGTTATATCCGATTCTTATGGCTTTGGAATTTCGGTACAGCAGTATAAAATAACATTAATTATATAGGAAGTTAGGCATATAACCAGTTATAAACCAGGTTTACATTGGGGTTTGACTGTAATTCCCTATGATCTGATCGGTGAAACGCAGTACTTAATACGATACAACAAAATGAAGATTCCTGACTTACTCTAGATCTCTTATGGGAAACACGAAAGCAGGATAGAATTGGGAAGCTAAGTCCACCTTAACGAGGAGAGATTTCTCAAATTCCAATCCGTTAACTTTGCTTGGTGCAAATCCCTTCGGGAGTAGGGAATAACGTCGCGAAGGCGGCGTCTTCAGATCTCCGAAAGGGTCGGCGATGCAGTGATTACGAATCACTCCCGAAATGAATCCGCGCTCCTTAACGAAACACTTAGGATACAAGCTTAGATGCCGGTTTCCTAATAATTTAATCCAGCCGGGATATCCACAATCATCGCGGCCCTCTCGACTGTGACAAATGTCCGACTCGTCGGCTGTTCCATTAACGTTCTATTTACATATAAATTAAATCGTAACCGAATGAGACCGAACGGATTCCGAAAATGCCGCCGGCGGTGATACTTCACCCATTCATCGGAGACCGGAATTAGTTTTAAATAATGACGACTCTGATTGAACGAAAGGGTATTTGGAGAAGTACTTTAGTTTCCTCTCTGGACAGGAATGAAGAACTGGGGTTGGATGGCCAGCAGGTGATGTTTAAGTGAGAGACAAAAAACTTTTATAAGGTAGTACTCTCTAAACCTGGGATTCATTAGAATGATTTCCAAGCTCTTTCTGATAGATGACACTTAATTAAACGCCCTCGATCTAGCCACAGTGACTTACGTTCTAATTATTGTTACTACAGTTGAACCCTTGGCAAAGAACTTCAAGGAACCGAAATTTTAGTTTGCTATATCCAATCCAATCCGATAAGGATTTATCACACAAAAATATGTAAAAATTATATGATGAACCACAAACACACATACAAAAATGGGAGGAAAAAGTGATTAACATTGTCACATCGTTTCGAATTTTTCATCGTGTACCAACTGTAGATTTGGGTGAACACTCTTCCGGGTAGATATCTGTTTGGCTCCATGCATTTTGCTATTTTTCGAAGAATGTTATCTTCAATGTAGAATGATTTATGTTTACAGTTCGCCACGAGGAAGAGTTTTTGACACAAAAGCAGAGCTCAAAGTGTTTCGAGAAATATGTCAGATTTTGGATGTTATGGAAGAGACGAAAAAGAAAAACTTCCTCCCAGTATGCCTTATCCAGTTTCCAGTGATAACGCAGCTACGTTCCCAAGATACGTATGGTTGCAAAGCAAAATTCGATAACTTTTGTAAAGAATACTTATATCTTGCAAAAGACCGAAGGAATGCAAAATGGATAGAACTTGAACATCTATACTCAATCGAAATAAGCCGATAAGGATAAAATTTCGTTTCCTAAAAGGCGTATCAACGGTATAGCCTCAAGATCGTAACATTCACTACTTCCTCTTTCCTTCATTATACAAAAAATTTCTATCATACCGCCAGCCTTGAATAAGATTCTGTCTGGTGGTTCATTCAAAGAATCTAAATGGAAATAAAGATTCCAGTCACGTTCTTTGGTTCAACAATAACTTACGCTATATGGTGTCCTAGGATATGTTAACATGTCCTCGTTATCCTTGGAATTATGTTTACCCTTGTCTTGCAGAGCGTTTTCCAGAACATAGAGAAAAACAGAGATAAAGATAAAAGTAACATGGAGTTTACGAATCCATCCTTTACATATGGAATGCGAATACTAACATCCTAAACAAATGTGATTTTAGAGTTTAGTAATTTCATCGTTAAAATTTGCAGAAATGCTGGGAAAAGTATGAAAAATACGAAAGAAGTTTCAATCGAAGGTATACTAACAGTTCGTTATATACGATTTTCATACCTTCCGAAATTCGCTACAGCAGTATAAAATAACATTAATTGTATAGGAAAACTGGACTGGACCAAACGGTTTGTTCGTTATATTTAGAGATACGTTATAAACCGGTTTCGTTATAGCGCAGTACGACAGCAATTATATTATTAGTCCAAAGGGACAAGTTGCCCAGAGGTAATATCAATTTCGTTTTGGCATTTTGCATTGATTCACTATTTAAATTGTTGCCACCAAATATTAGAGACCTGTATTATGTTTAAGGAAATTAAATAATGAAGAATCTGCATAAATGTATGCATGTTTCTCGATTTGTGTTACAGCAACTATACCTAGAGCCATCGAATTTCAAATAACGTACGTTCCTATCCGAATATGGACATCTGGAAACCCGAATTTGGAATTTGTTTTATTATCTATTTCATATTTTGTAAAACTTTAACAAACTCAACGATTTAAAAGCGAACAATGGCAACACCCTACGGGAAAAAAAAAAAAAAAAAAAAAAAAAACTTTTCATCTCCAGCGCGCGGAACTGTGTATCAGAAATTCTAAAGATATGCTTATTTTAAAATAGTTTTGCGACATTACTGTTGAAGTGAACTTAATGGTTTAAGTTTGAAGAATGTGATATTTAATAAATAAAGATAACGTTCACACAAAAAGTTAAACACGCCCGTTTGGGCGTAATGTAAAATCTGAAAGCTTCCTCAAGGTTCCGGTGCTTCTAATTTTAGAAATTGAACCGTGCTTGGATGCATACATACTCGAAATAAAGGTACTTTCTCTAAAATTTCCATCTACTGTGTATCAAAATATAAATCACCTTTGGTTTCCCGGAAGAGAAATTTATGTTCAGCCACTGCAACTTCAAATTTTGAAACATTTTTACGGAGTCTTTCCAAATTGTATAGCGTTACGTTGTTCTACGTTGTGACGCCATTTAAGTCTTTCAGCAAGTATTGCTAATTACTACTGAACGAGATGTAATATTTTGAATGTATATTGCACATAGAAACGCGAAAGGTCCGTTTCCAGAGGGCTGCCTTTCGACATGACTCAAAATCTTTAATTTATTTTTTAAATTTAATGATTCTATTAATGATTATCTAACTGAGTTGTTTGAAAGCAACAGATGCACCTCTTTTATTGATTTAATATCTTTAATTTATTTTTAATAATGCATTATCAAACTGATACACTTTAAAATACATTTCATTTCCTATCAAATAATGAAGAATCTGTATGTATGTGTATGTATGTATGTTCCTAGCATTGTGGAAAATTGAGACATATAGAGCCACTAAACTTTGAATCACAAACACAGTGTATATTGAGCACTTATTTCGGTGTATACAGTGTATATTGAGCACTTATGCTGAAAAATATTTTTTTTCTTACAGATAAACGCTTATCTAGAAGGCATGACCAAGCATCCTTACCTAGACAAGCTGCAATAGATTCCCAACTGCCTAAGGAGTGTCAAATTTTAGAAGGATATGGAAGAAAGCTCCACTACCCTAATATCCCATTTTGTTGTTGATAGTTCCTCCATAGAAAACATCGGAAGTCTCTCCCATGAAGTAAGTTCTGCTCCCTATTCACCGTTCATGAAAGTAAGCAAAATCCCGTTCAACGGACTGTTTGCTAACCCATTGAGTTATTCGGAGAAACTAGTCATTTTCTATTTATTTCCAGAGACATTATGTTCTTTAGAGCCAGCAAACACGAAGAATCAGCAATACTTTTAGATTCGAACTACGGAACTTCCGACTACTAGCTGGAAAGGCTTCCAGTAATAAATGCAAGCACGCAATAAAGAGGAAGAAAATACTTAACATTCTCCCCCACTTAAAGAGCGATTAAATAGGCAGTGAGCTAATACCAAATAATAGCGGTGATGAATTATCACCTTATATTTTATTGCAGGCGCCAGTGTAAAATCACTTGGATTTCTAGAGTCGGGAAACATGAGGAATCACTTTTGCCTTCGCTGGGATTTGAACTCAATACCTTCCAAGTACTAGACGGCAAGGCTTCCAGTCACACCCCGAAAGCATGCGGTAAGGAGGGGTATAAGTTACCTTATAAGTTTGTAGAGCTATTAGATTATTTGAAAGCAAGAGTCATGAAAAATGAGCAACACCTTCGCCAAGAATCGAACCACGGACCTCTGTAATACGCGCCCAGCGTGCCGACCACTAAACCACGGAGGCACGCTAAGAAGGCGGGAGAAATACCTTAGAAATTTACTTAACTTTCTTTTTTTTAGCCCAAAGAGCATTAGCCCAGAAGGGCTATTAATTTCGTTTTGGCATTTTGTGTTAATTCACTGTAAACGGCGAATTACTTTTTAAAATGTTGCCACCCAATATTAGAGTCCTGTATTATATTTAAAGAAATTAAATAATGAAGAATCTGCATAAAAGTATATATGTTTCTCGTATTGTAGTAAAACAACAGTATCTAGAGCCATCAAATTTCGAATAACGTACGTCTCCACTAGAATATGGGCATCTGGAAGCCCGAATTTGGAATTTGTTTTATTATCTATTTCATATTTTATAAAGCATTTATGAGTTTTTGATTAAGAAACTCATCGATTTCAAAGCAAGCAATGGCAACATTGTATGTGAGGGAGAAAAATTATCTCTAGCACGCGAAACTGTGTATCGGAAATTCTAAAGATACGCTCTTTTAAATATTTTGTGATATTGCTGTTTAATTCTGTTTTATGTTTTAAGTACGAAGAACATAATATTTAAGAAATAACAGCAGACCAAAGCTTAAAAAAAACGCCCCTTTGAGCGTAATGTAAGGTCTGAAAGACTTCAGATTTTTTTTTTTTTTTTGTTTGTTTTCTTCTTTTTAGTCTGAATGATACAATCAAATTATTTTTTTGCCATTTTTTTCTAAGCTCAAAAGATTAGCGGGAAATGTTTAAACAATTAGTTCTATTTCAAACCTAAAAAATTATTGCCACTGGTAGCTTAAAATTAAACACTGATGATATTTAATATAACTGTTTAAATGTTTTTGAGTTCGTTAGCGTTGTTGCTCTAAAATTTATTAGTAATTGAAACGTTATTATCTTGAGACATTATTATTAGTGTACCAGAGATGATTTTAGTCTCGAAATTCACTTCTTGGCTGCATAATTTTTGTGTCCGAATCCCTTTTCAGTTTGTTGCCACCAAATGCTATCGTGATGCATTATTTAAAAAAATTAAACCATGAAGAATGTGCATTGATGTGTGTATGTTCCCCGCTTTGTGGGAAAACGAGAGCATTTAGAAACACCGCAATTTTAATACACATAATCTTCCACCCGAACACGGGCACCTCCAAGCCCGAACTTTGAATTTCGAATTTATTTTTCATTTACTTCATATCTGTATAAATTTAACAAATCTATGTTTAACAAATTCAGCGATTTAAAAGCGAAAATTCGAGATAAAATATTTTTACATCCATTACGATTCGGCAAAATGTAAGACCTAAAATATTTCAGTTTTTATCCACAGATTCAGCTATTTCAAAGCAATGTGTTGCCACCTTCCTCAAACGTAATACTTATCACGATCACTCACAAGAATGTTGCCATTCAGTAAAGAGTAAGGTATTTAACTTTCAAGTTTAAACTTTCTGTTACTGAGTGGCAAACCAAGTGAGTGAAAAGCAAAAACGCAGATCTTGAAAATATTTTTCTTCTACTTTTTAATATGATCTATTTAAATAAAAATGCATTTAAATCATGAGATGTCTAATTAGATACATTAAAAATTGTTGCAAAATGCCCAGCTGCGGTGAGAAGGCTTCCCCGCAAAGTGGGTTTATGGTTGTCAAAAGTGGCAGGAAAAGGCAAGATTGCCACATTTTGGCGCGAAATCACCTATTTGGCGAATTTGGCAGCAGAATTGGCGATATGCCATAGACGGAGCGAGAACATTCTAGAATGCATCCTTAGCAGTTTTCTCGAGAATATATTCGAAAGTAGGTTAAATCTGTATATACCCTGCCTGCACGCGAAGCAGTAGTATTAGTAGTGTCTTGAGTTCAGAGATTAGCTTTGCAACGATTGACCGAGTAGGAAGCTGTTCTTTAGTGCTTTGCTGTAAAGCCATCTTCACAGTTATAGCCTGAAGGCTATGTTGCTGATTGTTTCAGCGTGTCTGTATTAGTTTTTCAACGACTGTAAAAGTGTCTTTTGGAACTGTCTTATGTAATGTTGACGAATAAATCGTGTTTTGATTCTTCATCAAGTGTTCTGATCAATTACTCCAAATCCATGAATCCGTAGAACGCAACAATATTTTTATGAAATGACGCTTGCTGATATTATTAATATGATTAGACATTAATATGATTTAGACGCTTTTCTTTTTTATGATAGCTTCTTTAAGTTGCTGGCTGTTCGAGGGGCTAGTTTTAAAAGAAATAATGTAGCGAATATAAAAACATGTATGGCAATCCCTAACTCTCTACCGGGAATTCTAGCTACATGCTTTTTATAAATATTTTGTAATTTTGCTCTTGAATATTATGTGGCGTAAGTGTAAAGAAATCGATACTTAATAATAAAGAAAAAGACAGGAAAATCGTGTAAGAAAGCGCGAATTCAGGAGCAGACTGGTAACGTGTGATGTTCAGCGCCAGCATAAAACCTTAACAAAACACTCTGATGTGACTTAAAATCTGAATCCTTTCAGATTTTCTTTTTTCATACGTTTCACGGGAAGAAGTTTTTTTGATAAATTAAAGGACAATGTTATAAGTCGTATCCACAAAAGTCCTTACACGGCTTTTATTTTCGCAGCTGAAAGAAATCAATTCTGTAAGATTTAAGAAATCTAATTTTTTATACGTTCTACTCCCAATATTTATATACAAAAAGTGCGTCATAAAAAACGAAACACAGAAAGTGTGACTCCCGTACTACAAAAACAAACCGAGATATTTGGTACAGAAATCGGCAATTATATTCAGGGACTGTACACAAATTTAAAAGAGATATTTTTGCATTGTATAAAAATAAAATATTAATTTAGAAAAAGATTCTGTTAAGACGTTAAGCGATGAGCATTTCTATGCCAATTATTATGAAAAATATTGATCAATATATAATTTTTAAAACGAATAATAGAGTCTTATTAAATTCATAGAAAATTCATAGAATCTTACTGAATTCGTATTCTCGAAAACATCGGCAGGCATCGTGATTGTCCCGTAAGCAACTAGTAATATTATTTGAATTAATTAGAAATGAAAAATGCCTGTACTTTAATGAATTTTTATACGATTATTAGATTATAATTCTAAATTAATAAAACTTCACGAGAATATTAATAGTTTTTTTAGATTTTAGAAACTTATAAATTACTTGTGTGAAAATTCTTTCGCCATATCAAATGTAACAAAATTATTAATTAAAGACACTAGTAAAGCACAAAAGGAATATTACTGAATGGCATTTAAAGGCGAAAAATTCAACCTCGAAATATCCTAATTTATTTATTAATGAATCCCTGAATACAAACCGAAAACATGTCAAAAACTTGAAACGAAATATCTCGGTCATTTTCTTTCTTACGGGAGTCAAACTTACGGGAGTCAGTCTTACGTTCATTTTTTATAATGAGCATAGCAGTTTTCTAAATATAAGCATAGGGAACGGAGAAGCGTTCAAATGGATAAATTTCGTAATTTTTACAAAACTGATAGTTTTGAATTTAAAAATACTCAAACATGAATCTTTGCGCTATTTCAAAGATTTTTTTTAAACTGACAGTATAGAACGGTTGCAGAAATAAAGGCTGGTTAAAGACTTTTGTGGATACGGTGTGCTATGCTAGGGATTTATAAGCATTCCTTATGATATAAAGGAAAATCACTATTTTTTTCATTATATTTAATTTTCAGATTAATTAGATTAATGTTACCAGAGCTTCCAGTATTATGTATTAATGAATCATGTATCTTCTATTAATGAACTGACCGTAATCATTAACATTTTGTTTAATCTTACAACACATCCATCTACTGCTTGCAGCTATTGCGCTTAGCAAAGTAATTCTTCACCAAAATTCTGTAGCACTGTAAGACATAAATACTCTAACACTCTGTTATTGATGAATATGTTCTCTTGTATTCATTAATCTAATCTACTCATCAAAGTGAGCAAAGGAATTAAGAGTAAATGAAAAATAGTAGTTCTAACATCTGTCTTCTTCAGTGCAGCTGCAATCCGCAAATTAGATAAAGTTAAATGATAGTGAATTTCCTTGTTTCAAATCAGTGCGGCTGTATCTTGCAGAATATGCTTCAAATAAAAAGAAATTGAAATATCTGTGATAGAGTAGTCAGTGAAAAATTTCTCCAACACCAAATAAAGTATATTACACACGCTAATAAATTCACAGCATTTAATCTTCATTCCCTCAACGCGGATTTGATGTTTGTTACTTGTTTCCAGATTGCAGAAGCCCTCTGCGAACGAGCGAACTCCCTCCGCAATTCGCACCCCAGTGTCACCATTGGCAAGGACAGGAAGCTTATTGAGAGCCTGATGGACGTAGTTGCAGCCATACGACCAGAGCCGATTGCTTCTTGTGGAATGGACGACAGTCAGCCCTCAGGTAAATGACAATAAGTATAGGAACATTCAAAAATTAGCTAAACTTATCCCAGTGGCACGCAAACAGTTATTCTAGACAATAACCATTGCTTCAAGGTAGGCAAAGTTTGCCTCAAGATTCGATGAATGATCCAATATCTCAACGAAAATATGGGACATGAATATGACTATCCAGAGTCGAACAATTCCACGTCGCATGAAGTACACGTGGCTATCAGAATAAACTTAATGTGGAAAGTTGAGGATTTTCAGTGCGAGATATAGCGTCGTAGTATAGCAGTACAGCTTAACAATGAGTGAACATCAGTTTTTGCTACAAATTGGAGGCAACGTTGAAAGGCACGCATGGAACTCTACTGCGAGGCGAAAGTAGAAAGTACACTGCTTTTAGGAAAATAAGGAAAAATCACAAAAATAGCGATAACTTCCTCAAAAACAAGCCAAACCGTGTAAAATTTAAATATGTTGCCAAGTAAGAGTAGCTGAGTAAAACTGCGATATGCAAATTAGTGGCGCTGCTTTCGGAATGCGTCATCTGCGAGGAGTAAAAGTCCATGTTTGAGAGAAAGCCCACATATTTCACTGTGACAGTGACATCAGAAATCTGAGATAGCCAATTCGTAACAATGACCTCCAGGTATCATTTGCCTGCAGAACTGCGATGGAGAGCCATTGGGAGACTAGAGGCAGGACAAAGTCAAACAGAGGTGACCAGATGGCTAAATGTGAGTCCTTCTGTGGTTCATTTTGGAGGCAATTTCAAACCACAGATTCGGCATCTAGGAGGTTCAGCCAAGGACAGCCAATTGCTACGACGAGTGCCGATGACCAATATTTGACATTATGTGCACGCAGGAATAGAACCGCTACTCTGATTCTTCTTAGATCCTCCCTTGCTGCAGCCACTGGAAGGTTGGTGTCAACGTCAACTGTGCGTAGAAGGCTTCACGAAGGTGGTCTGTAGGCGACCAGCCATTTGTGTGCCGCTCAGGTCACGCCATAGGAGGGACCGTTTTCAGTGGGCACAAGAACATGTCCACTGGGCGCCTGATCAATGAAGGGCGGTTATCTTTACGGATGAGTCCAAATTTAGTTTAGAAAGCGATAGTACGCGTTATTTGATATGGAGAGAACCTAGAACCCGTTATCATCCGTCAAACATCCGTGAAAGAGATGCATACGAAAGGGGCAGTGTCTGTGTTTGGGGTGCCATCTCTTTGGGTGGACGCACAGACCTCCATGTCTTTCCAAGGGAAACCGTGAGTGCTCAGATTTATAGAGATGACATCCTTGATGTTTATGTGCGCCCATATACCGGGGCAATAGGTGATGCTTTCCTGTTACAGGACGACAACGCAAGACCACACAGGGCTCGCATCGTTGATGATTATCTTCAACAGGAAACAATTATACGCATGGAGTGGCCAGCTCGAATCCGTCGGACTTGAATCCTATCGAGCACGTTTGGGATGCTTTAATGAAACGTCTAGCTGCTCTCAATCCGCCCCCTCAGATCACTTGTCGCGCTTGCAACTGCTTTGCAAGAGCAATGGCTCTCGCTTCCTATGGACCTGATAGACCGCATAATTGAAAGCATCACACATCGCTGCATGTGCTGTATTGCTTCTAGAGGCGATCATATTCCATATTGAAGGTACTTTTCCTATAGCAAACTGACATCTTCGATTTGTTCATTTTAAACATGTGCTAATTTCTCTACTACTATATTTGTCTGGTAATTTCTTTTTATGTTATTTGATACCTTACTATATGTTCTATATTGTGGGTAAGTTTTATTAAATTCTACATGTAACTTTTTCAGTAATCGTGATTTTTGTGCTTTTTCTTAATTTATGATAACCAGTGTAGTAGTCATGACTAGAAATTGTAATTACGATGAGTAGAAACATATCATCAGATCGATGACGATGCATATATATATATATATATATATTGATAACTTCTGTTTGAAGCGTTGCACTCAGGAGATCGATATTTCATATTTTATCTCTTATTTTATTATGTCATGCTTTCAATATTTTTTCAATACTCGTACTTTTTACTTGTACTACCTTTGAGTATGACTTTCTTCGAGATACAAAATGGTTAGGACCTTCATAGAAAAGAAATTATAAACTTGCATTTACGTTCCAACTATTTCCTTTTCTTTAAAACAAAATACGTATATATATATATATATATATATATATTCCTGTAATTTATACAACTCTACAGCAAATTTAGAGTCAGTTTCAGGAACCCTTCAATATAATTTTTAAAAATATTCCCCTGTATTTGGGTCAACCTGTAACTGATGACAGCATCACATCAAAGATTCTTCTGTTTATCAATCATCTTCTACAAAAGAAAAATGAGTGGATTCCCTAGAAGGTATTTAAAGTATCCCTTTCTTTCGTGTAACATACAGGATGGTCATTATAAAATTTCCTCGATATATGAACCCATAGCGGCCTATCGGCTCAAGCAACCGAAATGAAATTTCAGGTAAAATTATCTGAAGGTATGCGTTCGAGACTGTGAGGATAAAAAACAGTAGAGATCTCACGCTTACGGTTATGATGAAGAAAACTTCGAAATTCTTCAATGGCAACACCCACGTTTTTCCTGCGCAAATTGATCAGATCTTGGAAAACTAATGAGTATGACCATAATTATCGGTGCAAAAAATTTGCAACGAAGAACTTTCTAAAGGACCAATGACAACACAAGAGAAGACAGGGAAAAAAAAACCTTTTATTGGAATTACAAGTTTTCAACATGCCACCTTCGAATACGATAACGTATTGCATATGGGAGATAGTTGACAATAGTGACGAACGTAAAATCGCAGATGGAATCTGCATGACATCCTTTAACTCTACTAAATCTCGTGGATTGGATGTGTATACCTTAGATTTCGCACAATCTAAGAACCCCAAATCCATCGGCGTGAGGTCGGGGGATCGCGGTGGCCACGAAAACTGCAAAGCGCCGGTACATGTCTCTATTTCCAAAGTTTTGTTGCCGTATTCGCCGGACACACGTTGTGATGTGTGGAAGAGCATAATCTTACATCCATACAATGCCATTAAAAACATTTCGCTGCTATAATTCTGCAACATTGTTATATATGAAGCACTTGTGATGGAGTACATTTTCATTCCTGTGGAAGTGATATCTTCGAAGAAATACGGATCAAGAACGAATGTGCTTTCGATGTCGCACCACACAGTCACTGTAGTTTAGTGTAAAGCGCTGGTGCGTCACCGTAAGAAGTTTTGTCAGCCCAGTGAACGCAATTCTTGGAGTTAACATTCTCAACCGGCAATTTTCGTCTTATGTGTACCGTTACAACGTCATTTATGATTTTACAATGCACTGATCAATTTGCGCGGGGAAAAGTGGGTGTTACCATTCGAAAATTTAGGAAGAATGGGCCATTGCCAAAGGCGGATGGAGCTACCAGAAATTCGGAAAATTTCTGTAGGTGCCGATAGCTATAGGTTCGCTTGTAAGCGAGCATGTCGGCAACTTTATGCAGGTCGACGATTGTGAGCCTAGAAAAAAATCATCAGAAAGGTTCCGGCATCCTGATGACAGATGCTTTTCCGAAGTTATAAACTGAACTTCCTAATGGAGCCGATACCTTTTTGAGAGGATCTTACCCAGACTCCCACTTAAAGTGCTCTGATATATTAGTCTCGATGAAAATTTCTTTTTTCAAACTGAACTAAATAATGTCACTTTATTCAAGTCGACTGTTGTCTTAGATTATCAACGAAATGTCCTTGAATCTTGAGGAAAGTTGTATTCTGCATGGTATATACTTAAACTGCACTTCATGAGGATACTCGACAACTTTGGTCTTCCCGCTGAGGCACCCTTGTACCTTGGTGAATCGTGATCAACTTGCATAAGGCTGCCGGTACATTTATGCAAAGTGGAAGCGGCCGTAAGATCAACACCATCCGTGTGTTGACTATTGTACAGAATTTTTGTGCTTTTTTCCGAAGTTTCTCTCAGAATGTCCTTGTCTAGTGAAGCTGAAAACCCGTCCAAAGGGTTTTCTCTGGGAAATAGGATAGTAAATATTGGATTTCCCTTACTAGTGGCGAGCAGCTCAGTCCGATTATTGCGTGTAAGATTGAAGCACTGTCGGAAATTATAACGCTTTTTTCTTGTTGTTTCCTGGCAAATTTCACAGCTTCTCTAATGACTAATAGTTCAGCTTGGAATGCAGAATTTGTGCTGTTAAGCTTTTCCTGCCATGTTTTAAAGAGTAAATTAATTCTGTAGGCCCAGAAGACATTTCCGACACCCATTTTAATTTTTGACCCGTCCATATAGATTCGGATTGAGAAATGGTCTATTGGAAAATTCACTATTTGGTTTTCTGTGTACAGATGGTTTGGATGTACGTAGATTTAAATTGTGTTTATGCTCTTCGTAATCTATTGGATGGTACATCATATTATTGAATGTGCTGGTTTGGCGCAGTCGTGTTACTTTTACTTTTGTTGCCTCTTGTTCTATTGTAACGGTGATCTGTGGGATACCTGCTACGAATTTTAAAGCGCTTGTAGGGACAGTTCGATATATACCTTTGAAATTGCCAGGAGGAAAAGCCTTTGTACAGAAAGTAATTGTCTTTGGGTATGCGTATTGAGGTTTTTGCTCCAAGCTGAAACGACATGTAGTAGAATTTTTTCTGTTACTGTATGGTACTATAGTTTTTGTAATTTTGGGGATATCCCCCGGTTGCTAGCAGCCGTTAATTTCTGGTAGTTGTTCAGGATTATGAGCTTGTCTCTGATATGTTTTATGTGTTGATATCAGGAGATTCTGTTATCCATTATGACGCCTAGATAAGGAACATTATTTTTCATTTTGATGTAGCTAAGTATACTGGCATATCTTGCAGGTGTATTCTCAAAACTAAATAAAATTAAATCTCTTGTCTACAAGGTAATTCTTTGACTGCTCGGAGTGCCCATGAAAAATTAAAAAGATTTGCTAGGAAACTTTGCCTGTGAGTTAATCGTATAAAACAAACCATTTTCAGCCCCAAATTCATATCCTTATTTGAAAAAAATTATGCAATGGCATATGTTTTCGAACTTCGAAACTCCGAGGTCACAATTTGAAAAAATTTTTTTCTTAGTGAAAAATATAAAGAATTTTCATGGGTTCTTGGTCGTTTACGTCATGATTTTGAAAATAGCAAACTGTCATCGAATGAAAGAAAACTCTTAAAGGAACTCTTTAATGACACTGGACATAAATTCCAAGGAAAAGGTATGGTTAACTTCTGGTCGATATTGCGAGTGAAAAGCACTATAGCGAATTCTACGTATCTGTGTAAGAAAGGGTTCTCATTACTAACTCAAATTAAAATAAAGGATCGAAATCGATTTGATGTATGAGCCGATCTCTTACCAGCATACATTTACAAAACAGCTGAGGAGGTATCGGAAGCCTTATCGATATCCTTAATGTGAGTACCAATATTTATTTAATTTTTAATTGGTAAGATAAAGTTTATCCAAACTCTAATAGAAATTGAACTAAAATTAAAAATTGAATTAAAATTGAACAAATACAATTTTTCTTCAACTAAGTGAACTGTTTAAGATCAATAAAAATAAAATTGATTTTAATTAACGATATTTTAAAAACATATGTATACTGGTATTAAATGTATGTCGAAAAAATTCCTTTCGAAGGGGACAAGAGTATGGAAAAGTGGTCCGCAGAAGGGAAATAAGTCCGCTTTCGAAGAAATCCGCAGATATTCATGGTTAGAAGGAAAATTAAACAACATTTGCACCAAAATAACCAGTCTGAATAAAACTTTACACGTGGTTTTCTTTTCAGCCGCAGCTTTTAAATGCGCAAACAGCTGCGGGCTCCGTAATTTCTAAAATTTCCTCTCTAATTCTTTCGTGTCGTCTTCTCTAATATCTTCTACTAATCTGTATCATTTGAAAATGGTCGTTATGAAGCATTAGAGTAAAAAAAAAGTGTTAAAGCTTAAACAAAATTGTTAATTAACATAAAATCTGAAAATTTAAGCAGTAACATAGGTAATTTTTCTCCCGCCAGATGAAGAAATCTCCACTTCTCATCCCCCCATGGATTGCGGAGGGGACCCTAATTGCCATGTGGATGGTGTGTCCAAAAAAGCATTCTCTAAGCGTAAACGAATGCGTAAGCGCATCGTTCAGAGTTTTCGAAGATTCAAGAGCTTGCGTCGCTTCACCTCAACCGACCGCCGGGGCAAGGAGCACAAGATAAGGTGGAGCAACGTCAAGACGAGGGTGCAGCCATTCTATGAAGAGAGAGTGCAACCCATTTTTGTGAACTGGGGCGAAATGGGCAGGAAATTCGCCGCTTCCGTGGTGCAGAAGAAGAACTGGTTCGGAACGGCATCAGTGAATACATCCGACGCTTCCGGGAAAGGTCCCTCTACAATGCCCATGGAGTTCGAGACAAATGACAAATTGCAATAAAAGAAATTTTCATTAATCCGAAAGGGAAATTATTCTATGTCTTGTTCAAGTTGCTAAAGATAATTCAGAATTCCATTCTCGCATTCCAATTAAATCTAGAGATTCGGTCTGAAATTTCTGTAGGTTGGACATGTGAAGCCTTGAGGATTGAAATTTTAAATTTAGGTCTAGGTAAATGTTATATTAACACTCTTTAATGTTCCATTCAAGACAACTCACGTGCAGTAAAGAAGAAACTAATTTCGAAATAACCAACGCGCTTTTTTTTTCTTTCGCAAAATAAATGTAAAATAAAATTCATAAAAGACATCACATGTTCGCACTCAATAATTTTCAACTACAGTGGAACCCCGCTATAATGAACCTGGCTAATAACGAACACTTGGAAATAACGATCAAACCTTTTTGTCTCCTTGTGTACTTAATGTTATTTTATACTGCTAGAGCGAACTTCCAAAGGTATGAAAATCGAATATATCGAACAATATGGATATCTTCGATTAAATTTTTTTTTTATTTTCTTCGTATTTTTACCAGAATTTCTTCAACTTTTAACGAAGAAACTGCCAACCTTTAAATATTCCAAGTTTAGAATATTGGGAAACACAATTCCAATTATGCGAAAAAAAGAGTGACACCCAATCTAGGAGAACGAAGACACAAGCAGATCATAACCCTGTGGCATTCTTGTATGTGGTGTATGTAACCGTTAAACTAAAGCACTTAAGTTGGTTCTTTTATTCCATGTAGATCATTTGACTGAATTATTAGACAAAACTCTATTCAAGGTTATTCAAGGTATACAGGAAATTTTGAAATCTTCGCTATTGAAGAAAATAGAAAAAGGGGATCTTACGAATTTGGGTTAGGCAGTTGATTTGTCTTCTATAGAATAATAATAATAACAAAAACTTTTTTTAGTATATATGCTGTCCACGTTATTATCTTCCGTACGGGGGTTATGTATTTTTTAGGTCATTTGAAAGACAAAGGATATTCTTTACAGAAGTTATTTAACCTTTCCTTTGCAGTCATACATATCTTAGGTTAACGTTAAAGGTCAATTCGCCAGTATTTTTAGTTATTCCTTTCCACACGAGTATAAAAACTGTGTTTTTATATTTTTATGAAATAATCTACTTTTCTTAGAGAATCTAATATAGCGAATATAACTTGGAGTTTGTTATAACGGTGTTAGACTGCACTAATTGCTTTTTGCTAAATGCTTCTTAAATATATCTGCTAGTCAGTTTTATTAATTGGAACAACTCTCATAAAAATACGAATCCTTATGAATGTTTCGTTACGTATTCTGATTCTGTGATTAAGACTAAATAATTGAGCTATTCAGGGGTGCCAAAGGACATGCTTTAATGTTACAGAAATAATAATTCCTAAAATTAATTCCCTTTTATATTATAGACGTCGGAACTTCAGGAGTAATGTACTATGTCATAAAAGTATTCTTAGACTTATCTGTCACCAACAAAGCACGATTCGTTGAAAAAGTTCGGGAATTAATGTTGTTTCATTCTGGAGACACAGAGTAGAATGGTGGCAGAAAATTAAATGAGCGTGTCCACTTCGATAGAAAACTAAGATGGAATCTAATGCAATTTCTAAAATTTGCAGCGTGAAAGAATTACGTCCATAGATGTAAAAGTGACCTGGCATAAACAGTTTTTTTTTATTTTTGTGGAAAAGGATTAACAAAAAATACTAATGAACTTAGCTTTTGTTTAAGAAATGAATGGTTGCAAAACAAAGATACAATAATCTTTGTAAAGACTATTCTATGCCTTTCAAAAGATCTAAAGAATACAAAACCCCATTTGGAGGATTGAACTTGGATAGCGTTTACTTTCAAATAAAAAAAAGGAGGGGATAAGAATTTAAAAAAAAAAAATCATTTTCTATAGGACGAATCAACTGTATTACCCAAACTCGTAAGATTCACTACATCCTCTTAACCTGAATAGTGAAAATTTCCATCTTAGTATCAGCCTTGAATACAGCTCTATCTGGCAACTGAATTAAGGAATTCGAACAGAATCTGAGAACCCACTTCCGTTCTTTGTTTTAATGGTCACACAAACCATGTACAAAAAAACGCCATAAGGATGTCCTAAAATTTGCTTATTTTGTCCTCGTTCTCCTAGACTGAATGACACAGCTTTTCGCATGGCTTTTGTTTATAACACAGAGAATAAAGTCATTTTTCTCTGTGTTATAAACAAAAGCCATGAGAAAAAGGTGTGAGAGGTATTAACACAGAGAAAAAAAATCATTTTTTTCTGTGTTGAACGTGAAAGAAACGACATAAAAGTTGAACATAAAAGAAAAGCAAAGCAAAATTGTTTTCCTTTGCAAATGGAATGTGAAATGTGGATCCTAACATCGTAAACGTGGATGATTGTGAGGGTTAGTCATATGTTTGTTAAAATTTTCAGAGATTCTGTAAAAAATGCGAAAAATACAAAAAGGTTATAAGTTATTTCTCCCGCCTTCTTGGCATGCCTTCTTGGTGTAGTTGTCTATACGCTGGGCGCATTTCCAGAGGACAGTGGTTTGATTCCCGGTGTTGCTCATTTTTCATTTCTCCTGCCTCCAAAAATACCTAATGTCTCTGCAGTGGCGCCCCAACTAAAAGGGTGGTGGATGATGATTCTGTACACCTAGGATTTGGCGATTGAGTCCCCTAAAACCCCAGTCGATTCCCGGCGAAGGCGTTGCTCATTTTTCATCTCTCCTGCTTCGAAATAACCTGATGTCTCCACAATCGAAGATATCCATATAATTCGTTATATTCAATTTCCATACTTTGCTAGTTCGCTATAGCAGTATAAACTAACATTAAATGAATAGAAATTTGAATGGGACGAAACGATTTGTTGTTTATATCCACGGCTTTGTCATAACAACGTTCGACTATATAATAATATGAAATAAGTAAAATACCAACTTTTTCCAGCCTGTGAAGAAACTTAACCAATCCGTTTGAGTAAAACACGCCCTCCTAAATCTTTTTTTTCCCTGATGCTATCTTCAATACATTAAATCTCGTATGATAGATAGAAATCGTCACTTCAGAAAATTCTCATAAACAATGGAATGAAGCTGTAATTGAAGTTCAGGAACATTGAAAATAATTTTCTCCTCTCTTCAGTCCATCCATTCAAAAGTGCGGTACAGATTATTGCACGCAATAGCAAAAACATTATCATACATGATTTTTTGGGAAACATTTTTTTTTTTTTTTTGTAATTCAATTGTGATGGCTGTTCTTTACAAATACTTATTATTTTGCCCTCTCTGTTACTGATAGAAATCGAAATTCAGTCTTTGAATTTCTCTTATTATCCAATGTGAAAGCAGATCTTATAACAAATACACAAAAATACATACATGCACGCACACACATACATGTACAAGCATATTCCAAAAACGGTTACTGCAAGCATAAAAATGAGAGTAGCTAAATTATGCAGAAAATTTAAATATTTAAACTAGTAATATAGTGCGTTTATAAATGAATAAAACATACAGTCAAATCACGCTTTAGTCTTTTTTATAGTAACTATTTTAGGTAGCTAGCTGCTCCAGCGGCTAGTTAGTTATTTGAAAGTGAAGCGGGGAACAAAATTGAGGTTCGAAAATAATAATCCTTCTGAGCTAAAATATTTAAGACTATATCTTAACGCTATATCGGGAAATCTAAAGATATCCTGTTTTAAAACATGTTGTGATTTTACTGTTGAATTTTATGTGGTATAAGTGCGAAGAAACTTATATTTAATAATAATGTTAAAAAGACAAAAAATATTTTGAGAAGACAGATAAATTGAGAGCTACCTCAATGAGAACATAAAGACCTTAACAATTCCTCTGCTGCGAAGTTAAGATATGAATCCTTTCAAAAATTCTTTTTCTTCCTTTTCTCTTTTTCTTCTCTCTCTCTCTCTTGTCTCGAAGAGACAATTTGCCCAGAAGCGCTACGATTTCGTTTTGGCATTTTGCGTTGATTCACTACAAGGGTAGTTTCACTTTTCAAATTGTTGCCACCAAATATTAGCGCTCTGTATTATATTTAAAGAAATTAAATAATGAAGAATCTGCATAAATGTATGTATGTTTCTCGCATTGTGATAAAGCAACGGTACCTAGAGCCATCCAATTTTGAATAACGTAATCCTCCTGTGAGGATGGGCTTCTAAAAGCCCAAATTTGGAATTTGGTTCATTATCCACTTCATAATTTGTGAAACTTTAACGAATTTTTGATTAACAAACTCAACGATTTCAAAGCGAGCATTGGCAACACTGTACGAGGGGAAAAAATATGTCGAGTACGCGAGACTATGTACCGGAAGAAATTCTAAGGATATGGTCTTTAAAATTATTTTGTTAAATACAGCTGTTAAATTGAACTTTATGGTTTAAGTGCGAAGAACATGATATTTAATAAATAAAGGTAACATATAAAACGTTAAAAAACTCCCCTTTGGACGTAATATAAAATATGAAAGCTTTCAGGTTTTAATTTTTTTAATGATTTAGATCAGAGCATCGATAAAGAAACGTAAGATTTATTTGTTAAATATCAGTGCAAAAGAACACAAATACTTGAACATGAGCTGAAATTTCGCCTAAAGGGAAAATTGGGATTTTCGGCAAGCCGGTCTGATATGCTAGCATTTGTAATACGAGAAGATATGAAAAGAATTTTTTAATTCTTTACAATTTCGTTTTTAAGTTCCCTTCTGGTTTTCATTGAAGCTTCCCGGCAGACTCTTACTAATAACGTCTTAAGAGATTTTCTGAACCGACAGTTCCGAAGTGCTCCCAGTTTTATGAACGTATTATACACACCGTATTCTGTGATTCGAATCCTAAATCAGGCCTTCATTGCCATCCTATGCTGACCATCCTAGGATCGGAAAGGCCGATCTTAGGTAGTAATGCAGTTATTAAAAATATTCATCCCTTTTTTTACGAAACAAAATAATACAATAATTATGCATAATAATTTTGTTTACTTTGTTATTTAGTCTGCAATGTTACAAAATTTACTTATGAATGTTTATGCATAATTATTGTATACAAATGCTACTTATACAATTTGACTAGCAGCTTACGCGACCATCCTCCTAAATAATTATTATGA